ATGTTGATGTGGGAATTAGATAGAGCGGCAGTGACACTCTGTTAGTTATGTTGTGTTTTTGTCTTCATTCATGCTTTTTGTTGATCTGTTTCCTGTTTCACTTTGTATGAAAATATCTCGAGGGCATCTTCCCTCCCCGCCCTCCTGTAATCAACACCAGCCCTACCGTTGTCTCATTGCACTCCTCTATAAAATAATCTGAGTTCCCCTATTTGCCTCTTGTGTAAATGACCCTGCCTGGCCTGAGTTTTGCCCACTGTCTCAACCCTTCCCGGATTCTTTGTTTCAACACAGAAAAAGGTATTGATTTAAGGTCCTTCTGTGGAATATTGCATTTGAGCCACTACTTCTTGACCCAGTTTTGTGGCATTTATTAGTTCGTCTTGTTGCACTGATAATGGAAAAAGCAATAACGTGAGACATGAATTCAGACTTTAACCCGTTTTGACAGCTCTCTCACAATAAATACGTCTGAGCTTTTCCTTTAGCCTGAGATTATGAAGGATTCCTTTCTCCAGCTGAGAACGGTCACACTCGGAGTTGAATGCACACTCCCGCAGATAAATGTGAAAATATACGGAGTCTAACAGCCGTTGATTCACTGACTAAAAAAATCCTCTCTAAAAATTAGATCCAAAGGACAAAAGTCATCGGTCAGGGAGACTCATGAATCATAATCAAGGTGAAAAACAACAGGTAAAACACACATTTTACCGTCATAATGCTGGACCCTCAGAACCAGAAACCCCGAGGGACACACTCTAAGTCTGGATACTTTCAATCCATTTAGTGCCTTTTTCATGGTATTTTTATAGCTTATGAATATCGACATATTTTATTAGGTGTATGGACTAATAAAATCCCAATGCACCTGGTTCCACTTGGCTGTATGCTGTTTGTACAGTCTGCGCGGCACTATTCTCCCCGAATGTTTCCACCTCATTCTCAGACATTTACCTCAGACCGTGTCTCTGGTTACATTCATTCCACGTGCGTCAGCCTCATCGAGCCTCTTCAGCTCTGACAGACACAGAAGCTTGATGAGAGTTCAGCATTTTAATTGAAATTTTAAGGTTAGTGGAATGTGTCACTTAGCAGCTGAGAGCTTTCCAAACTGTAAAAAGCTTCCATATAGTTCACAATCTTTGGTCCTCAGCCAAATATGACACACCTCATGCCTCTCTTTATATTTTAGACATAAAAAGTTTGGATAGACTTAAAACAATTAAGGATTGTGAAAACTGTGCCCATTACTATGGTCCAAAACTGTGAGCAAAATATGATATTTTCCTTTGAAACTGCAACATACTGAAGCAGTTTAAAATTATTGGGGTCCTCTTTCTGTTTTCATATACCAATGTCCCTATAAAATCACCAGTCTCATATCCCAGGAAGCCCAGCTTAAGACTTAGAGCCCAGATTGATATCTGCATAAAAACTGGTGCTACTGGGAAAGCGGTAGAGCAAAATCACAGGTCTATCCATTGAGGGTAATAATGGCTGGTCATTTCCTAATTGGTTTTTCCACACTGTGGTTGTAAGACCAGTTAGGTACAAATAACATACCTTGTGTTTTGCTTCTGCTACTTAAATGGTCTCTGAGTAATCATAAAAAAAGCATAGATGTTGTTGTACTTTGCGATGGAAGCTGTAAAGGTGATGAAGGTGGGACTGTCTTCTATCCGCTGGGCTAATGATTTCAATGTTATTGCAACAATGAAATCTCTAGCAGCACAAAGAAAATAAATATTCCTTTCCCGTTAACCAATGTTGTCAAAATGAGATGTTGGAATGTAGATAAAAGGCAATAATCTACTATGCAGCTACACAAATGACACTTCAATGTTCAGAAAATATATTTAGAAAAGTCCGATATTGGGAAAAACTACCCGGTGACCATTGTAAGTGTGTGATGTTAAATGTTAAATGTATCTAAAAAGTGGGTGGGACACTTATGGTGAACAACATCCAGAAATGTATAGCAGTATGACATTTTTCTGCTGTAAATAAACCTATAAACTATATTAAAGAATAAATTAATTGTGGCAATAAATAAATAATTACATCAGTCTTTACATCCTTTCGAGGAATCTGGTACTTCTTCATGTTTGAATAACCAAGTTGACTTTGTTTCCAAAAATGTTGCCTTATTGAACTTTGAACTGATAAACTGAATTAACCAAAGATGACCATGCTAACACACTGAGTTTGTAGAGTTGACACAACACATGACGTTCATCCATCTATTTTTTATACTGCTTTTTCCTGGTAGGGGCACATAGGGGGAGGGACAAAGGTGAGAGGCGGGGTACATCCTGGAGAGGCCATTCCATCAGAGGTCCGCACAAATCCAGAGGAATGACCCAGACATCACACAAACTCACACTCATTACTACAGGGAATGTCAAAATTAGCCTAACGAGAATGTTTTTGGAGGATGGGAGGAGGTAGGAAGGAAGTACTTGGAGAGGAAGACCCCCAACCAAGATTCAACTGGGAAGCTTCTTGCTGCAAGGCGGTGGGTCTAATCACAACATATTCATCAGTCCATATGATCTTTGTCAAATTCTTTAGACTCCATTCTTTATGCTATCTAGAAAATGAAATTCATCTACTTTTTTGTTAGTTTCACTAAGTGTTTTTTTTTTACATCAACACAGCTGTTTATCTGAATACTTTGGGGTTTCTGGGCATTGTGCGTATGGAAATCATCTAACTTCCACTGTAAAACATTGAGTTAACATGAGTTATACGATAAATATTCTGCTTTATGATTTCATCAAACCTGATCACGATCATTCGAGATTTTCGGTGGTTCTGACTTTATTGATGTCAGATGGTTCGTAATATCATTTTATTAGTTAATACAAAGTAGTGATTTTAGCTTTCTAAAGGAAAGTAACATCTTTGCAGATACCAAAAGATGGTTTTTCTTAGGGCTGATAAGCTCATCAATGCATCAGTTACGATCAAATAACTATATACCCAGCTGAACACCCATTAATGTAGTATTTATCCAAAAGAAAGCTTTCACTTACATGTACAGATCACTTACAGATGGAAAAAAGCTAGTTAACCTATATAAGCTATGTACATAGATAAGATCTTGGTTGAAATCAAATCAAGGTGGATTGTGATGGAATGGAGATTGTTCTCCCTGTTTTTAAAAATCACAGACTTTGTCAACATGCATTCTAACTTTTCACCGCATTACAAAACAGTTTGGGAATCTCGATTGTCACATTTTAAGCAGCTTTTGGGAGTTCCTGTCACAAACCTGAAGATGCACACAGGAGGTTGTTTTAATATTCAAATAAGTCCACTGCAGAAAAAGCCAAAGAAATCCCAGGTGAAAAACTGACCGTGGAAACTGAACCGTGGCATGGTGCCAGAAAATTGCTTGCCAACAGATAATTTGGGCAACCGCATGGATCCAGCTGACCTATTAATAGATTGCATCAGGAATCAGCTTCTGCTATGAGGTAATGTGATGAATGTGAAGCATTCGGCTCAGGACTACGGTTTGTTTTGCAAGAATAAATTAATGGCAGGAAACTCTGCGCACCCCAGGAGAGGTACAGTAGATCACTGTCTTTCCAGGAGGAAAAAAACTAGACATCCCACAGTCTCTGCCAAATCAGAAAGTATGTCAGTGCTACAGCCTGACACGTGTTTTACTGTCACAGTGCTGTTTAGACATTAATCTTAGCCATCGATCATGAAGGTAAATTTTGACAGTTTTAGAAGAGCTAAAAAATATACAGCCCATTATATTTCACAATATCAAATATCAATATCAAATACAGATGGTAAAACCTCCCCAGTGGGATTTAAATATTGTTATCACTTAAAAATTCCAATGAAGCATCTTTGCCAGTGATTGGAGGTATTTCAAATAGATATTAGGTTTCTTTGTAAATTCATGATTCTGGGGCTCCACCATGATGAAACCAACTAAAGCTCACATGAATAAACTCTATCTCATTTGTGGTATCACAATTTCTGGATACCAAGAGCACCCCGTAATCTATTTTTCTGATGTTATCACAGTATCACGCAGATTGTTTTTGGGGAGACGATAAGTAGGTTTACCTCTTTTTTCATCAGAAAACTGCTTTTCTATTCCAGATTGGGACATGAAACGAGAAAATGTCATTTAGATTCTGGAGATCAGAGAGAATATATGGTGTGCTCAGAAATTAGTGGATTCTGTCTTAACACCAAATTTGATTTTCGTTCATCAATCTGACGACACTTTAAGGGGATTTACAAAATTAAGTCAAGGCGTGCATGTCAGAAATGTCTGATCTTGAGCATGGACGGATGTCTGTGGACATAATAATTTAACTCTCTGCATGAGAACTTCTCTTTAAGCCGCCCCACTGCTGGCAGCAACAGAAAAACTAATTCTACCAAGCTGAACTTATCAAATGTATCAACCTAGTAAGTTAAGAAGATGCACTTGTTATTTAATGAAAACAACAAATTATTCAGTTCAAAATAAAACTAGAGGTGATAATCATTGTGATTTTGAGACGGAATTAGAACAGTTTGTATCGCAAATTTAGTGCCTGGATGGGCGTAAATTTAACCCTCTATGGCCTGACTTTTTATTCCCCTTTTCGGGAGCTCATGTAGTCATCCTAAAACCTGAGAAGTGGAGTAAAAACTAGTTAATTAAAACAAAGATAAACAAGTTGCACACAGCATGTTTAACCAGGTAGTTCTTTAACATTCAAGAAACATCTGGACAAACATCTAAAATGGACATCTCTTTTGTTTTTCTTATGTCTCTTCTTGTTTCTCCACATAAAGATAAAAGTCTGGATATGTGCTTTGTTTCCTGAGGGCTACACCATGCCATAGAGGGTTAAACTGTTTTAATTATTTTACGTTAGCCAAACTAGAGGCCATGTTACTTGTGAACATAACTGAAGGTTCTGGCCCTAGTGTCAGGGTGCAAAGCTGCAAGAAAGTGCAGAATCATTTGAATATCTCACCATTTTTCTCCTCCGGCAGCCACATGTTGCTGAACAGTGTATCCAAACTGAGCTTGTTTAGGTCCTTTGATGATCCTGGGTTTCTTTGTGTCAATATTGAAGCAGTCAAGGAAACCTTTGGAAAAGACAGAAAAGACGGTTTCCATCAGTGCCGTTAGCTTTGATGATCCAGCATCTGGCTGTAGAGAAACACACGGCGTTTAAGGCACCCTCAATCATTCTTAAGATAATCCCTGACCCGTCTCTGGTCTTGTTTGCCCACCCTCCTCATGTATAAACAAAGATTTTTCTCATAAGGAAACAAACCTGCTCACACAAACTGACCTGCCTGTCACATTTGAGTCGTTTCTTTTAGGCAGGAATGTGCAAACTTGACCACCTACATGGCCACTGATTTCATTCAGATTTGACATCTGAAAAACACCTGTGAAGCTCACATCATCCCAACACAAATTGAGGCTTTAAACTCTCATTTAAGAGTCTAATTGCAGCTGTAATATAACTAAAAAAGCAGCAATCAATCAAATATTACAAAGAAAACTCAAAATTCAAAAGCTCCTGAAAAGGCTGAGTCTTGATTTGGTGGTTAATCAATGATGAAGCGCAACTAGAAGGGAACTATGAAACATGATCAAAGCTAATCTGGTTTTCCTATTGTGAACTACGGTTCCTCTCACTTTTCCAGATTTCTCGTCGTGGTTACCAGAAACGGCAGCGGACATCTGTTTTTCATTAAAATTCCAATCAGAGAAGGTGGCTTTTTGGACCCTCAGTGTCACCATGTTACGCATTATAGATTTTTAGTGCTGACAGCATTATTTGCCCTTTAAATCTCCTCCAAAAGAACCATTTTTTTGTGATTATAGGGAGGATTTGAGATTTCTCTTTTGGCAAAGAAGGTAGGAAATTCAACTCATTTGTGTTCGGGAGACAAATCGTATTGATTTACTTTGCTTCACTGATGTTTCAACTTTTCTTTTCAGGTTAAATCATCACAATAGAGCTTGTTAGTAGATTAAATATCAAGAAGTGTCAAGTCACGTTTCAGAAACAAAGAAGAAAACAAAAGGAGAAAGTCGAACCGCTCTTTTTTGCTTGATGAGACACAATGGTCTGTTAAACTCTTTTATGGGAGATGGAGTTGAAAATTAAAGAGTTTTCTCACAGCGTATCTGAGAGCACAAAAGCCTCGGCTCTCAACCACCACAATCAGCCCCACTGCTTTTATCTCTCTCACTGTTGGGTTTGTTTAATCCCCTGCCGTCACGCTAAACATCCTCGCTCACTGGTCATTCGCCATCTGGATCACGCAAAGTAAAGAGAGGCTTTTTTCCCTACTGGAAGAAACTCATTATATGTAACAAGTTTAGCAAAGCTCAACAAGGTGGACCCATTTAACAAACAAACTATTTTAGTTTAGATTCAGTACAGTAGTTCCCCCCGTTGCCTCATTGCAAACTGAAACTGAGAGGAAGATGCTGTTTTGATCAGGAATTGGTCTTTTTGCATCATGATCGCATCCCAAACCTTTCAGGATGTTGTTGAGCCCACATTATTGAAAGATGGAGTCCCTGACACCCTCTTTCCTGGATTTCTAAGGCATTTACCGCTCTGTATTAGGCCTGTGAGCCAGCGAGGTCCAGGTCCAGGATCTGACTGTAGCCAAAGCTGAGGTCAACCAGTTTAAAGACGGTGTTTAAAGTTTGGCTACGAACCTAAATAAATTGAATTTGCGATTTAATTCTATACTCAAAAGCAGTTCAAGTTGTTTTTTCTTTCAGGTTTTACTCTTCAAACGTGCCAGATTTCTCTTGACCTTTTCATCCGACTACATTTGACCACTTGCTGCCCCATTGCTGTTGTTCTTTAGCCTCCGTTTGACTCCCCGAGGCTCCATTCATGTTTGCAGATTTCCTGTTTTCTGGCAAACCATAACCAAAATGAGAGGTGGCTGAGGATTTTTTGCACTGTATATTACAGAAATGTGACATATTACCTGTAAGCCATAAATACTGCTGAAACTCTGCTTCATTTAAAAAACGCAGCACCAGAGATTTATTTGTTTGGGAGTGCAGCTGTTTGGACAATGAGAGGCAGACGAGCGTTTTTCATATGGAGCAGCTGTATTCCTTGAAGGAAAATGGCTCAGTGACTGAAATGGGAAGTTGTCTGCATTCCTTAGATAGAGGATATTTTGAAGGGGTAAGTACATTGTCTAAACACTTCCAAAAACAAACCATAAAGATCACAACTCTGCCAAGGACATTATGCAATTGGATTGGAGGCCACAGAACGAATGATTGCTCATTTTTTTCTGCCTGCCAAGTCACCTTAAGTAAGTCTCGTCTTGATTGGCACCACCATGCGCAGTTTTCTCTGTTTTGTGAAAATCTCCGCTAAAATAAATACGGATCTTTGCCGTGCGGGCTCTCCATGTAAATGTTGACACATTGGCCCTGTGGCTCATTTCCTGTTGTATGAATGGTTCACATGTTCGCTCAGTCTTTCTCGTTCCACCCCCCAAACATCCTCCAAGAGTCTCTGATCATCCAGAAACATAAAAAGGGGTTCACTGAAAATAGATTGTTGGGAACAAATAGGTGTGTGAAAAATAAACGAAAGTCACCGGGAAACTACAAACTGTTTATCATTGCAGAACTTCACAAACGAACAGCAGGGGGCTAAAAATACCTACAAGGTTTTTTAACCAGATTATGAAATCCGTTTTGGCTTGTTTGCAAGTTTCAATCTGAGTCTTAATGGATCCTTCCTCTAACTGCTGGTTTCAAAACGCTCAATATAACACAATTTGGACAAAAAACATATGTAACCCATTTGTATCTTTCGATGCGGCACTATTGGTGAATGAGCATCAGGGGTGTCAGTGTTAGCCTAATTCATCCATAATCCTAACCGAGCAGTTTTGTTGTTTAAAATCAGGGCAGATCCATATGCTGGCCCACAAACACAGAGGTTGACAAACACCGAATCCCACTTTATTAATGTCAAAGTGGGTCTTCCTCCTCTTTGAAGCAGCTGAGCTGAAGAAGACTCTAACTTTCCTCTTGTGCCAAAATGTTAGCAGTTTAGCTAAAAACCAACACAGCATCCTGGGCTGAGGGAGGTCTGACTTAGAGACTTTTTTATAGAAAAATGTCAGGGTGAAAGCACAGGGACGACTTTTATCCAGTTTCCATTTAAAGTTACAAACGTGCCAAAGAAATCTAACACGCTGAGTAATATCAGCAGCTTCTAACACGAGGTTGGAGCCTCGCCGGGTTTTCCTGTGTACCGGTTCTCATGCCTAGATAAATAAAGCCGGGGGCCGGGGACCCACACAGTCCGCTGCTGCCTTTGGCCCCGCACCAAGCCTCTGGAGCCGGACCACAAACCCACTGACGCATTCTGCTAACAGCTGGCAAAGCGATATTCTCATATCGGACGTGTTTAAGGCCGTTTTGAGTTCGTACAACGCGATAAAGTCGTAGATCGTGGACGCCTACGACCAGTGTTGGGGAGTAACGGATTACATGTAACGACGTTAAGTAATTTAATTACAAAAAAAGAGTAACTGTAATTCGTTACAGTTACAATGCGAAAATATGTAATTCAGTTACAGTTACTTCGGAAAATATTAAGAATTACAAATTTAGTTACATTTTTTTTTAAATATAAAGAAAAACCTTTGCGAAATATGCAACTCACTGATAGACGAAGCGTATTGATTTACTAATATTTGCCTGTTTGGTTTTGATGCATGACAAACGTTTATCGATGTCTATGACCTAGCCTAGCCTAGCCTACCTAGCCTACCCAACTGTAGGGTGACCAGACGTCCTATTTTTCCCAGACATGTCCTACATTTCAAACTAGGGTTGTCAAAAGAATCGATACTTAAAAAAGTATCGATACTAAAATGTTGTATCCGGATACGATACTCCTTTTAAAAAGTATCGATAACAGACGTTAGCCTTGAACTGCTTGCTGCCGCAAATAGCTAATAATAACATGCTAAAATTAATCATGGGTCAATACTCATTAAAACCTTAAAGTAATCAAACGTAATTAGTTACATTACTTTTTAAAAGTAATCGAAAAAGTTACACTACATTTTAAACGAGGGAACTTGTAACTGTAACGGATTACATTTTTAAAGTAACTTAACCAACACTGCGTACGACAACGTTTCCGGTCGATTTCTATCGTCTGTTTCTGGTGGCTGAGCGTGTAGACGGTGACTAACTGGATTTACGGGACCAGTAGCATGAGCTCTAACAATAGATCTGTTGGCGTTAGGAATAAAAACAAACCCGAGAAGCAGTAGAGTGTAATGATTTTCTATTGATCCCTTCTGGATTTCCACTTCAATGGGTTTTTTATCTGGAAAGATACAGTGCTTCACAGTGGATGACATACTTTCAAACGTTTTGGCACCTTCCCCTCGTGCCAAAGCAAATACTCTGAGAAGCGTGGGGTATCTAAAACCAGATGTTCCTGTTATGTAACAGCCAACTGGGCACCGCTTAACAAGCTGTTAACCCTCTGAGCCAACAAAAAGCCCTCCAGGGACCCAAAGTCTCTCTGACTGCACAACAGGGTGTATGACACACAAATGCTCCGAGCTGATAATCACTGATTCAGCTAACTAATGACTTATTCAGGGACTGAGCATCAGTCAGTTTTGGCCTGAGTTAACTTAACTTCAAGAGCTAGTAAATTAATGTTTGGCATTTCTAAACAAGCCGAAAGGAACTCGAACAATACATTGCTTTCATAGTAAATTTGATGTGAAATGTACTGCCTCAGCAATATCAGTAATAAAAGAAACAATATGAAGCAGCCTGCAAAGAAATATCAGCTGTTCAGATCAAAACAATGACATTCCAAAATGTGATTTAACCATATAATGCCATATGTAACATATTTGATGCACAGTTTCTGAAATGCTTTGCATCTGAAATCTTGTGAATCATTAAATAGTAAAAACTTTGCTCATGTTGGGGTTGTGTAAGCAATTTCCTATCAAAAAGAGCTAAGCTCTACTTTTTTTACCTTTAACTGAATGACAATCATCAGCTAAAAAAAATCCCTACAAGGTTTTTAAACCAGATTTTAGAATCTGTTAAGTTACTTTTTGGATCTCCACATTCGGTGTCCGTTTTGGCTTGTATGCAAGTTTCAATTAGAGTCTTAATGGATCTTTCCTCTAACTGCTGGTTTTTAAATGGCTTGTCAAAATGCTCAATATAACACAATTTGGACAAAAGACATATGTAACCCATTTGTATCTTTCGATGCTGTACTATTGGTGAATGAGCATCAGGGGTGTCAGTGTTAGCCTAATTCATCCATGTATCTCCAAACCCAACCGTGTCATTTTGTTGTTTAAAATCAGGGCAAATCCATGTTCTGGCCCACAAACACAGAGGTCAACAAACACCGAATCCCACTTTATTAACGTCAAATTGGGTCCTCGTGAAAAGTCTTCCTCCTCTTTGAAGCAGCTGAGCTGAGGAAGACTCTGACTTACCTCTTTGCTGTTTGACAAGTGTCTTGAAGAGGGTGTGAAACATTGTCATTTATGTTAAGCACCTTTTCAAACGTTGGATTCTGCTTTTCACTATCATCTCCAGGGGCTTCAAAGCCTGCTCTGGCATTGAGAGAGTCCTCTTTGTCAGCCTTAGCTCATCACCTTCCTTCAGATTCTGTGAGTCACTGTGATGTTTCTCCCCAAAAGACTGCTACAAAGCAGATTACATCCTCCACCGCTGGTTTATTGAAGATGACGAACATGGTTCTGTGTTTGTTATCCGTCCCCTCCTGTCACAGTTTCATTTTCTCCTTGGCTGTGACATGTCCAGGATTACACTATCTGCTGTCAACAAGAAAGGCTCCACTTTGCTGCTGTGGAGTCCCTTTGATTTCTCTGTCTGCCTTTATAGTCTGAAAGCCCAGTAGAGAGCCTGGGCAAAAAAAGTCCTGCATCAAAGTGCTGAAGAAACCCAGAGAACCTAATCCTCAATATTCCTGCCATGTCCTCATGAGCTCGTCAGTTTCGGAGCTGGAGATTCAAAGGAGGAAAGCATTTAAACTTCCTCTTTTTGATCATCTTATTGCTGCCTCACTTAAATCCTTTGAGTTTATGAATCAGTGCAAAAATGTATCTTATAAATCAGACAACTTGCATGAAAAAGCTCTGTAGAAAATTTCAAAACAGTACAATGAAAAAAATTATTTAGTCAATGTTTCATTCATTCTTTAAGCCACTAAGCCACATATCTTTTCTAATTGAAGAAACAACCAAATGAGGTTTAAGACACTAAAAGATGAGAAAAAGCGCATTAAATGTGCGGTTTAATCTTATTGAGGTACACGAACAACCAAAAGCCGATTTTTCTTAGAGAAGAGAGAAGTAAGTGAATCAGCTGATGATAAAGTTAAAAGGTTTCAAACATATATTGATTTGTTATTTCAGAGTGAAACGAACCTTCTCAAAATAGTGTCCTAGCAAAATTTTCAGATTAAGTTTGAACAACACAGAACACACAAAGGAAATTGTTATATTTTTGTTTTTTTTTCATCTGAGGAGTTAATGGAAAGATGATAAATATTTGATTGGCGAACCCAACAAACCAACATAGAAAACACTGTATGTACCTTTAGAATACTTTCAAGTAATTAAAAACGCAAAGAACGTATTTGCTTTTAAATCCTGTCGGCTGTATCCTGTATGGTTTGACTTTTGACTTGGTACTTCACCATTTACTGGAAGGCTTTACTTGGAGATATAACCTGGGTCACTGAACACCAGCCAAATGGTTTTTACTACTTCTAATCTTCTAAAAACACATTGTATAAATTGTGTGGATTAAAATCTTTGCATTGCCAAAGCCAATTGTTGGACACTACAATGTACCATCACCATGCACTGGCATACTTAACACCAGTTATATAAACCGGGTTTAAGAGCTAATTAGATGTCCATGTCTTAACTTGATGAGGAAAAAGCTTTTTTGTGCAGCTTTTTGCTTCTGCAAAAGTGCAGTACTCATAGGTCTTGAGTTACATTCAGGATCTAAGCTGTAAACTGCTGACAGGGAGGGCGGCATTACAGCAAATACATCAGGTAGTGGTGGACCACAATATCTGGTGTAGTTTCTGAGAGAAACGATTTTGGGTCTTTTTTACTGGATCACGGGAGTCGGACCTAAACAGTGAAACTGACAATAAATCCCACAACGGGAGCGCAGACTGGTAAAATTGATACTTAGCTTTTCATTTTATCCAGAGGCTGCTGCTGTCAGCATTTACAAAGTGACTGTGAGATGCTATCTTACACTGATGTTTCTTAGATAATGTAAAAAACTTAAAAGAGGGTGTGCCCATCTGAGTTTTTTTGAGAAGTGTGAAAGCAAATCTGGGTCACCTTTAGGAAAAAGGAAGCTATTTATTGTTTTCCTCTTTTTCTGTTTAAAAAGAGATTCATTGAAGAACTTGTAGGTATTCCTACATATATATGTGTGTGTATGTATGTGTATGTGTGTGTGTGTATTCTTTTCTTTACCACTATGAAACGTAGTTATTTTTAATGGTTCAAAATAGTTTTTTTTTATTTAAAAAAGAGATTTGGCTACAGCTGCTAACACACTGATTATTCAGAAACGCTTCACACAACTCCACTTCAAAGAGGCAAAAGCATCCTTTTAAGGATATTTCCATGCACCTAACCATAAAATTTTCAGTTTTCGAAAAACAACTATAAATCTCCCAACCTATAATGTAATAAATTGATGGCGTGGTTAAGCTAGTTTTGTATTTTGTTTGGCTGAACAAGTTGGCAGGGTCAGGGGACAAAGTGGACATTAGCTCCATCAGCACCGATTTGAGATTTTACGCTTCTTTTTGCAGCTGGTTCTACACATTTCAAAGTTACCCCTTTTTAAAAAAACATGAATTGAATTGTGTAAAAATAAGAACAGAGTCCAAGCGTTTTGGTGAGGAATCCAACGTTGTGCTGAAATGACATAAGGGGTTTTGTTTTGCCCACAAACCAATGTTCTTATTTGTTCAATAAGTTCCAATAAATCTTTCTCCTCTCCTTTGCTTCTTGTCACTTGTCAAAAAGCACATAATCCTCACAACAGGCATCTCTGGATCAGATGCCTTCACAGTCTCTCTCAGCATCAGAAGAGTAATAAGTCTACTGTCTCTTAGGGTTCTCATATGGTATAAATTAACTCTTAGCTTGCTAACTTGCATGTGGAGGAAGATGATGCATACAGGTCCTCAAAAGTTTCCCTCAAGGTTCACGTTAAAAGAGTTCTGCTCTGCTTTATAATCAGGACATCTCTGGGAATGTTAGTGTTTGGCAGAATCTGACACATTCTTCTTCTGATTAAGCAAACGAGTCATATTTTGAAGTTTCTCCACTCCTTTTTAATTTCCTACACGTCAGCGCTTGATTATTTTTGTCACTTTTCAGTGGACGCTTTTACCTCATTCATAGATATGGAATTCATAGCGGGAAGTTTCCATGACAGCCTGAACGTCCCCGCATGGAGGGGTCATATTGAATGTCTATCAAAAGAGAACGATTCGAAGTTCACACTGGAAAAACATTTTGAGTTGACAGTTCCTGCTGGGATAGTGTTTATAAGGACATGTGCCTTGTGGCATTAATGACACGGGCTGATGTCATCTCATACGGAGAAGAAAAATATCCCTACTCAAGGTAATGTTTGATATCTTTGGTCCAAAAGTCCCAGGAGTGCACAGACGTAATACTAAAATAAAGCCCTCTCCTCACCATTTCCTCATATTCTGCAGGCTCCCTCTAAGTTCAGAATCTCATTTCAAATGGCACCACTCCAAACTTTCCCTGCAACAAATTCCAAATTCAAACCAAATATTTACAATAGATTTCCTCCCATCCGCAGCATTTTTTGTGTTATTTACAAAGCCTCTAAATGAAATGTTGACTTTAAGAAAATGCTAATTGCACAGACCTTTCAGAGGTAATCAAAAAAAAAAAAGGGATTAATAAAATTTTGGGGGTTAAAAATAACTAAATGTTCAACTGCAGCAACAACCTTGCAAAATATTTTTAGGAACATTTCCACCCAACGATGCGTCTAAACTGTGTGGTTACAGTTCAGAGTATGATTGAAGCTAAAGTCAGACTACATAGAGCTTCTCCACAGCAGCACAGGATAAAGGATTCATTATAGATTTAATTGGCTTGACTTGTGTTTGCGGTAGCCGTTTATTAGTTTATGGGACTCCGATTTAACTAAAAATAGCTTTAATGGACTTTGTTTCAGTCTATTTGATCTTTCCTAGCAGAATCACAGCTATTGGGATTCCACTGGGAATTGACAACAGTTCTGGGGGAGCACGGACAGCTTAACTTGACTTAAAAAACAACTTTTATCTGACAGAACTTCCAATAAGACATAAAGCACCTCTGTAGACATCAGAAGATCAATCCACTGAGCTCTGCCTTCCTGTATGTTGCCACGATTATGGGTCAAGAGTCAGGCTATGATGGGACTCACAATAACATCCATTCATTCATGGGAGAAACTAAGATAAATGTGCACGCTCAGATGTGCAATTTAGACACAAAAAATACAAAAAAACCAAGCAAAGACTCTGTTTTAAAACTTTTACATGCTGCAGCCCCAAGGTCCCTAAGTCCCTAAGTTGCCATTGAGTGAATTTTGCCTATGCAAACTTAAAAAAACAAACGTTTTACTCACCTAACTGCAGGCTGCAGATCCAGAGGAGGAAGCAGTAGTACTCCATATGTCTGCTGCTGCTAGCGTGCACGTGGGGGGGGGGAACTGCTGTGAGGGGTCGACGAGGGTGAAGGAGGTGCAGAAACCCAGTGGCAGGCGAAGTTAAAGATCCCTTTCTGAAGAACTCCGAGTCAAAGCGCTGCCTATATGTGGAGGAGTAGGAGGGGACTGAGGGAGAAGGAGGTCCAGGCTCACTCTGTCGGGACTCAAACTCTGTCTCCGTCTACAACTTATTTATTTGTCTCTGTTCCACTGGCTGATACTCTCAAACTCTTTGCTTTAAGCATGCTTTTGAAAGGGGTTTTTATGACACTTTTAAAATGCATCGTGGTCTAAAGTTTTCGAGTTAAAGTTGATGTTTTTTTTAGTGTTAACTTTGTTCTTTATTCGATTGCTTTGACTTTTTTTCCGTTTTTCTTCTAGCTATAGTTGTGATCCAGGTCTTGTTTGCAGGTCAGAGCACCTGTGGCTCATTTTTGGCTCATTATCTCTTCGTATTCCCAGTTCCAGATCTTTTCAGAGCCAGATCCTCAAAGTAGTCTCTGTTGTGCGCCTGGTCTTCATGCCAAGTTTGCTTTTTACGCTCTTCCTTGTGTTTTAGATTGATGTTTTCTGGACTTCCTGCTTCCACAATGGTGTTAATTTGGCCTTGGAAGAATTGTATTTTTTCTTTGGGTTTCTCTACCTGGGTCATACTTAGAATAACTTGTGCCAAAGAAAGATTTTAGCTGTTTAAGTAAAAAAAAAAGAAAAAGCTTTTACTTTCATAATTGCAAATGAATCGCAATTTTGAGAGATAAATGAAATAATTAAAAACAAAGTTCCACCATTTCCTTTCTGTAATTACAGCTTGAGGCGATGAGAGTTTGGAACATTCAGCTAACACAGAAATGACATGGGGGGGTTCAAGCACATGCAAGATATTAACCACATTACCAGGGTCACTAACATTATAAATCTGAAAAAATACACTTTAAATTTGTTGAAACGTCATTCCCATTCCCATTACAAACCTAAATCGCCTTCTTTCAGACTCAAGCTATGCACTGCTACCATCATGGCAAAACCACAAACTAACGAGTGTATTAACCATGGAGCGTAAATGTGGGGTTTGGACGTTACCTCATGTGCTGCAGCTCAACCATCCACTCCTAAGTACAACGTGCACAATGATTGCATTTGCGGAATAAAACGTACTTTGTGTACATTGAAATCAGTCTGTGGTCACCTGGTAGATCCCCACTTGGATACTTAATCCACAGCATGTCACGTCCGAGCACATCCTTTCTTTATGTAAACATTTTAGATTTTCACCTGGGTTTGGAAACAGTTTTTTTTATACTGTCTGAGGCTTAGGCTTTATAATGAATAAATGAACCACTTAACCCGTCTAAATATATATATATCTATTATATGCAACCCATATAAACTAATAAACTACTGAGTTTAGGGTCAATTGTGAATAAATTATATGTTGTTCTATCTTACATTTAATATCCATCGAATGAACAGCTTTCTGAGTGCCTGTCAAAGTGACAAGTACACATTATTGACTATAGCATACACACTTTCTGAGCACAGTCCCTTTTTCTTTTCATCACACACTGACCACAGATCACACAAATCAAGCCAGCGTGTGTGCTGAAACCACCGGGGGGATAACCGAGCCTCCGAAAACAGAAAAAGAATCAAAACCTCCTTTCATTAAGGGGTGCTTAAAAGCTCATCGGATTTATTCCTCCTTCATCATTCCTGCTCCGTAGACTGCTGGCCCCATGCTTCCCTCTTTTAACTCAGGAAATTAAGCCCCGCGCCTACCGTGCCGATGCCTATGTGGACTACACGTCCAAATAACAGCGCTGATATACATCTCGAAATGACGGCCACTAGCTTAGTGAAAGTAAGCGATACTCTGTGGTCAGATACGCCACACATACCTGCATATTACCTTACAATCTCACATTTGTCCAAAAAGAATGAAAACATCAATGTGACACGAACACCATATCTTGCTTCTGTTTATGCTGCAGTTTAAAGAAAGAAAAGTCTGCATGTTGCATCATTAGTATACAGTACTTTCCTAAAATCTGCATAAAGGAATGTTTGAAAAAGGCAGCATTACTCGTTAAACTAGATGGAAACAAAACCTTCCAACATTGGAAGGGGAAATCTTAGAATTTATTGGGGTTTGGCAGCCGTCGGAACAAAAAAGACGTTCACAATAAACATGAAAACTTTCAGAAAAAAAAGAATTGTTTCCTTTAGTATTGCGGGTACATTCTCACGGCGTAAAAAAATCTCCCACTGTCAGCCTGCGAGACAAATGATAGATCTGAGAGTAACCTGCAATTAAGATTAGGGCCTGGTGCTCTGAATGGAGGCAGTGTGCCAGTGCTGTTCCAGGAGTTTTGTCAGTTTTTCAAGAGCTGGGGGGGGGGGGGGTGGTGAGCAGTTTTCACCAGCGCGTTTCTGCAAACCAAAATGACCATGTAGATATTTTTGCTATCCAGCTGCAAGCAAGGACGGGGGTTGGGGGCCACCGGACCAAACGGAGTATGAATAATTAGTTGTTTTTTTTTAAAAACACTTCTCCTTTTTCTTTCACCATCAAACCAGTTAAGCCTAGCAAGCGAGGTCTGAAATCTATACCGAACAGTAGCTGTTCTTACTTCACCTTTTCAGGGAATTCTCCACAACTGCAAGCAATTACCTCCATCGCCCCCTGGATTATCAGTTTGACGGCGATATATGGCCGTCTCCTCAGGCTAGAATTGACAGGTCCCCCGGGATCAGGCGTAAAGGAGCAAAAAAAAAAGCCGGCCGTCATCACAAGTTCAGGCCGGGTGCGTGCCTCTATGTTGAGACCCTCCATCTATCACCCATCGCCATGTGGACAAGGCTCAGACCTCCACGGCTGGTTTTATCAATCAATCAATCAATCAATGTTTATTTATATAGCACTTTACAACAACTGGAGCTGATCAAAGTGCTTAACAGAATAAAAAACTGATCAAACTATCGAACAATACAAAATAATACACAAAGACAATCACATCGGTGACAGAACCAAGTAAACAGAGACCCTATGTGCAGAAAGCCATCCTGAACAAATAAGTTTTAAGTTTAAGTTTATTTTGGCTTAAGCCAGCTGCCTCCGAAACTGCTGCTGTCTATGATGACTTCAGTCTGATTTTGAGGTAAATAAAAGCTTGAATGTGGCGGAATTTGGGGGGCTCAACTCTTTAAAACGGGACTTTTTTCGCTAATATCGAATTCAGTGCTTCGGGAAATGCAGTTTTGTTTCTGAAGATGTTTTAGCATAACACAGAAGCACTTTAAAGTGATGATGAACGGAGTTTTGGGCTGAGCAGATAAGGCCAAAAAATAATATAATATGGCAGTTGTGCAGCAACCGTGGACCTTGTAGCATTTCGTTTTGCTCAGTGTGATCACGTGTGATCAAACAACGGCCTGCATTCAAACGCAGATTAATATCTGAAACGTCTCAGACATCTTATCCTTCTTCTCTGCTTCTCTCTCTCATATCACTGCCTCAGAGGAAAATCCATCCCACGGTAAGAAGAAATCAAAAGACACAGTATTATGTCGGAGTGCTTACTTAAAAGGAAGAGCCAACAGGGAGAGGCGGCTCAGATTCTCCGATCTGGGTGTGAATTCTCCTCGGCGTACTGATCCAAGTCATCGCCTATGTGCCCACAGTCCCATATCCTGTTATCGGAACTAATCTGCAGCTCTTTGTTAGAGTCTCAGATATTTCTTGGAAAGGGTTCTTTAAACATCCAGCTGCACACGCAGAAGGCTCCTGTCTATGGAGATGCTGCTTTCCATTCATCACAGCCAAGTAAGGCAGAGGCTGGATGAAGCCATGAATGGTTTTTTTTAGGTAATAGAGAAGTCCCTCACGGTTCTCCGAGGAGCTTCCGGAAAACAGGCTGCTGTTTTCAGCAGTTTGGCCCGCATCATCTGCCCAGAGGACAGCAGGGAGAGATTCCAGCCAGTAGCCCTGCGTAAAACATTATCCTGGAGAAAGCGTTGTGTTGTGAAGAGAGCTCTCCATCAAACGTTATGTGCTGAGGCACACGTGAACCGAACAGGAGTCCTCCGCTACGCACACAGACTTTGTTAGTTTAAAGCCACTGATTGACATCGATCATCGCAGTGATAAACTTCAGTCAGTATTCACATAGCCTCATATAAAAGACACAGGATGACAAATATGAGGAGGCATTATGTAATACGAGAAGTGTCCTCAGTGTGATGTGTGTAAATCCCAGAATGAGTACACAGCTCAGTGTTTTGGGGGTAGGCACCATTGTTCCTGGTTTGAAACCCGTTCAGGGCCTTTTTGTGTGTCTTTTATCTTTATCCCAGGTATGTGTGGCTTCTTTGTGGACTCTCCCTCAAGGTTCTCATGGACAAAATAGCAAAAAACAAAACAAAACATGCACCGTATCTTAAGTAGAGAGTCTAATTTACTACTAAAAGTCCTACCAATAACAGAGACTTGAGCTACAGCTCAAAAGAAAATAATACGGTGAGCATTTATTTGATATAGGTGTGTTAAGAAAATTGATATGGACCCTTAGAAATGGTTTAGTATTGGAATAAAAAAATCCAAAGCACTCCATAGACTAACCATGGAGGACTAAAGCTAATAAATAGACTCTATGATGCTTCGTCATCTCCCTGAAGAGCAAATTCTATAAAAAAGTTTTCCCAGACAGTTAGAAAAACATTGATTCAGAACCATTTAATGCTGTGATTGGCCTTAGTCAAACAAGAAACAACAAGGGAAATTACAATTATTGTGCAATCGCTATGATTACTTATGTCCTTCTAAAAGTTTTAACAGTACAGAGGTTTCACCGGTCAACATAAGGGTCCATATTCAGAACATCATTATGTCCTGCAGGGACATCCCACAGCAATTGAACTGTCATGGCAGATATCTGTCACGGACTGTTTTATCTGATGATCAATCACCCC